CTTCTTCTTCTTCTTCTTCTTCTTCTTCTTCTTCTTCTTCTTCTTCTCCTTCTCCTTCTCCTTCTCCTTCTCCTTCTCCTTCTTCTTCTTCTTCTTCTCTCCATTTTAAAATAAGATTTCTTTTTATCATTAGGAGTTCTGTTTATATTCCACTGATGGGTTTCTGCTCATCTTCCCAAGGCAGTCATTCTTCATTTGTCACATGCAGATGTTATTAATTTATGCAAGTGAAGGGAAAGTGTGTGCAATTTTTGCAAAGAGCCTCTCCTGTCAATAAGTTACCATGTTTTGTTCAATTATTCGTCTCATAAATGAAGACGCAAAGTGTCTTAGACAGGCCGACCGTCTGGCAAATCCATTGAAAAGTTGTTTTCCTCACTAATCAGATTTACAAATTAAATTAGGATCTTTTTTGGTCTGCAAATTGACAGCCTCCATCAGCCTTGCTCCTTCCACTAGGGGATTCATTAACGGCCCTGAGAAAAATGGAGATGGGCAGAAGAGAAAAGCTTTGCAATTAGGCATTTATCCACTCATCTCGGCCCTTTTGGAAGACTGGGAGGTTCTTCAAATTGTCTCTTTGGACAGAGAAAGGGAACAGGTTTTTGAGAAAGCCACAGTGATGTTTTGAGAGCAGTGTGGCATTCAAATGTGCAGGGATTTGTTTGTGGTTTCTGGACAGAGGCTTTGGTTTTGATACAGCTCAGAAATTCCTTGTTCAAACACAGAGGTATTTTTTTAGAGTTAGAGAGGTGGTTTCAAAAAAGGAGTAAGAGTGGTTGAACCCTTGCTATCAAGTTCTCTTTCTCTACCCATCTCTCTCCCTCCCTCTCTCTCCCTCCCCCCCTCTCTCTTTTTTTTATCCCTGGGGTTGATGAAATGGGGAGTAAACATCACCTCCGAAGGTAAGATTTGACCTCAGGCCTGCCACAGAAGGACAGTCAGGGCAGTCAACATGGACAACTCCTTCATATTGCCTCCAACTAACCACTTTCTTCAGACATTGTAGTTTAAAGACATTATCTCCAAACCAAAAACCATCTTTCCTGTTCAGGTTGTTTCTACATAACAGGCCAATTTTTACTAAACCACAGACAATTCTAGTTGCTCATTCTTAGCTCTCCAGGTCCAGAGGAATCTTTGCCCATCGGTTGTATGTGCCAGTAAGTATGTTATCCTAATCTACCTTGGGTAGATGGCTTTCAAGACTCTCAATCGTCCTAACCAAAATGTTTCTCTGGATTTAAGCTCCTTGGGTCTATTGTGTCATAGAGAGGTATATGGCTTCACCATGTTAATAAATGACTTGCAGACCGAGATGCACCCATGTTAAGAAACTTTGTCCTTTGCGTCCTAGCGGTCAGTTGTCCTCCCAACAGCCACTACGAAAGCTGCGTGAGCGTCTGCCAGCCTCGTTGTGCTGCCATCCGGCTGAAAAGTGGCTGCAACCATTATTGCGTGGAAGGATGTCAGTGCGATCCAGGCTACGTTCTCAATGGTAAAAGCTGCATTCTTCCTCACAACTGTGGCTGTTACTCAGATGGAAAATATTACGAGGTAAGCCCAGGGTGTCAAAATAGGGTCTTGGGCTGTGAGGATGTTTTGAGTCAGCCATTGGAGGCCTGGGAGATAGTGTTGCCAAAGCAGAGAAGAGGTGAAACATGGATCTCTTTAAGGGATAACAGCATTGCACAAATGCCATGGTTCGGTATTAAGCATTCGCCCAATGGCACTGGAAGATCCAATATTTTGAAAACTGGTCTCATTTCTTTTTGTCTAAAAGACAATATTGGCAGTGAGATGCTGGAAGAACATCAGCCAAATAAACCCCTAAATAGAATCAGTCTCAAAATCAGGATTTCATGTCTGGAATACATTAAGGGCGAACATTTTTCTGTAGCATGTCCTGAGTAGCATCCATTATGAGTATTAAGTGTGGGTGTACAGTCTACACGAATTCTTCCTATTATTGCAATAGATATGGTCCATAAAGATTACAACAACAATATACGAAAGAGCTATTTTTGTTTAAAAAAGAAACTCGTTATGTGAAATTCTCCCCTAAGCTTCCTTTGCTTGGTAATGATGCATTTCTAAATTGTAAATCTGTGCAGCTTAGTGGCTGCTCTTTTCTTGTGCCCTTGGTTTTTATTTTTATTTTTAGGAGATATAAGGATCCATTTGCTTTTACGCTATTATCTCACTTTCTTTAGCATCCAAATTCTTTAGCATCCAAATGACCTTTAGCATCCAAATGACCTTTAGCATCCAAATCAGGAAGCTCACTCCTTCTTATTGAAGGAAACATCCTCATTTATATTTATCCAAACAACCACAATGAACAAAAAAGGAGAAGATGAGAAGCCTTGTAGAATTTGTGCAAATTATAGTGTCTTTCTGCCCTTAAACTGCCTGTGGGATTGCATAGCAAATAGATCCTAAAGAGGAAGAAAGCAAAGAATGTCGTTGGCCAGTCGTTGTTTCAACAATAATGCTCCGTAATAGGTTGGCTTTGGGGGAAGTAAACACTGTTCTTTAGGGAATTGGGTTCACAGGGCTTTAAAAAGGGATTTTGTTTTCTGCAGATAATTTTCAGGGACTATGATTCCTTCCCACCACCACCCCTTCCTCTACATTGCCGGTCAATATTGCTGCCAGGTTCAGCCTTCCTTCAGTGATCTCATAAAAGACAATTGTGGAATAATGCACTGGGAGCACCTATGAAGGACACGGTATCAGTTTAGCATCAGTTTCAATCTCACAATGCAGTGAAACCAGTTCTCGATAATGGGGTGATACTTTCAGCCCTTTTTTTTCTCAAGGAAGGGAGGGAAATATGAGAAGACAGTACCTTTGTCATGTTCTCAGCATGCCTTGCTGACCCCACAGGAGATCCTTCCCTGTCATTACTGATTTCTGATTCCCCACAATTTACTCTTGCAGGTTAGAGAAGCCATAAATTTATAGAAAAGACATTTCATTTGCAGAGGCAAACTAATAAATGAGAGACAAAGAGGATTAATCAAGGTGAAAAATGATTTGTGAGTAGGTTTTATTTTGACATGGGGGATATCAAATGTTATTTCTGAGTTAGTCATCAATCTAGTGATTATTTTTCAATGGGATAAGTTGATATTTCTTGGTTCTCATCCCTGGAAATTATTTACCTTGTCTTATACCGTATCTACTAGAGATCAATCCCTGTCAGTTTTCCAGTTTCATTCACAAGGCTTTTCCTCCACTACCCTGTCTTCTCTTCCTTTTCATTTTTTGCTTCGGCTTATTTATGTGTATAGTTTTCCCCAGGAGGCACGTTTTTCTATCCTAAAGTATTAATTTGTATACCTATTCTAACCAAAATTCCACATTCTTTTATGCTTTCTAGTATGGCATTGATATATTTATTGCATCGTATCAAGGATGCTGCTAATCTAAGCAAGGCAATAATGGGCCACAATCTGACCAAATAGTTTTCCATGTTTGGAGAAGATGTCTTGGGTTAAAAATTAGCATATCCCCTTTTTATTTGGGAAATGCTAAATGATATGAGACAGCTTAGAAACGTTGCCAAGGAATAAGTAGGTTTCTTTGAAATAGTCTTTAGTTTCCTGTCTTTGTTATTTTGAAAAGACAGGAAGCTAAAGACTACTTCTAAGAAACTACTAAGAAACCTAAGTTTAAGAAAAACCAGGCTGTTCCCATCTAACAGTTGGATAAAGCCACTGTGAAGAATCATTTCTGATGCCAGTTTTGCTTTTCTACTTTCCTGTACTTGGCTTTTTACATCCCAAGTAAAAGAAAAAATAGTAGCTAGATTTATTTGACGAGTCTGAGCTCTTGGTCTCTATTATGCTATAAATCTGATAATGAAAGAATGGAATGCAATGTGTCCTGCTCTGCAAAGCTACACTTCAGCAGTCAAAAGGCTACTGGTATCACTATTCTTTGGAGGAGTGGTCAGAAATGTTGCTATGGGAACTCTACCTTTGAATTTCTTTCCTTTTACAGGATATGAGCATAACAGGCCAAGGACACCAGTCAGGAACTTTTCAAAAGTCTTTTGGTCTGCCATAATTAATTAGGCCTCTAAGGCAGATATGCATTTTAAAACAAGATCCCAAAGAGGAAATGTTGCTTTAGTAGGTTGATCTCAACCATTACTTTGTAGTAAACTGTGATTTATGGTTGCATTAAACCACAGATTATTCTAGGATTTCAAACTTTTTAATCTTACCTTTCAGGGTAATGGGTTACATAAAACATAGCATATTATGTTTGGATGCAACAGCAAACCATAGCATGCTAAAAATTCAGAAATAAGTTTTCATGTTGCAGCAGCCAAAATGTGGATGAAGAAAAGAATAAATGTGTAAAATTAAGGCTCTAAGCTTTTCTCTCACATCTTTCCAAATCTCTCTCTGGTGATGTAGCTGAACACACACTGCATATCAGAAATGAGATGATACGCTGAACATGTTTCATCTGACCTGTTTCTACATCGGTTTGCTGCTGTCACCAAATGACAAACAAAATGTTTGAATGTATCTGAATAGGGAACTGAAATGGGTTATTATCTTGAAAATCCAGTATTATTATACATCTGTTGCCCTATAGAAAAAAGACATTTTGAAGAGAATTATATTGACCTAAACCCCACAGATTTTCATTTGCCAAGTGCCTAGAACTTCCGACAAGAGAGCATGTTAGGCTGTCCACTAAGAAATGCTCTACACGGCCTCCCTCTCCTGGTGAAAAATAAACTTTTCGAGGAGCCAGCTGGTTCCTGCATGGCTCCACAATGCAGCTAGCTTGATGAACTGCAAAAAGATTTGGTAGTTAGGCTACTGTCTGATTCTCAAAGGAAAAAAAACTGTATTTAGTTCACTGTGGTTGACGATTGTTCATTGTGTATATGAATTGCATGTATCATATTATATTATCTAACTAAAATGCTTTAACTGAGGCCAGGAAGAACTGTATATTGAAACACCAACACAATGGAACAAACATTTATCTCACACTGGTCCTGCTAATCAGCAGCAGACACTTGGCAGTGGAATTAAAATATAATGTTCTCTGCACAGAAAGTGTGCGCGTGTAGGTTTGCATGCATGAATGCTGCTTTCTCTTCAAATAAATATATATATATATAAAGAAATCACAATTATAAAATCAACCAGACTATCCAGCTATAAGCAAATATGTTATTGCTGGACAAGGCAAAGAATTGGAATAAGTGCTCCAATGGAGCAAGAAGCAAAATAAAATAAATGAAATTGCAGCAAAACAAACACAGAATGCCATGGACAGGTGAAGTCTCTGTAGGTCAAGCTCAGCAAGGGAGGCACAGAAATGGCATCCAGTCAGACGTCAAACCTTTCCAGAGGCTCTGAGCCATGAGGACCACTTGGGAAGCACATTCCTTAGGTCTGCTGACATGGCCCATAAGACCACATCTTGGTAGATGTTTGACATATTTGTCAGCAGAACAGGGCAGGAGCCCCAGAGATGGGCTTTGGATCCTTGTTCCATTTTCCAGGATGTTTGGTGGAGCTTTAGAGATGTTGCTTTCAACTCTTGGAAGAACTGTTTGCATCCTGTCTACCTTTCCCTCCTCCCCCTTTTGTGCAGCCTAAGCAGCTTTTCTGGAACAGCGACTGCACCCGCCGTTGCCGTTGCTTTCGACGAAACCTGATCCAGTGCGACCCTCGGCAGTGTAAATCCGATGAGGAATGCGCCCTGCAGAATGGAGTCCGGGGTTGCTTCAGCATGAAGAGCTCCTACTGCATTGCTGCAGGAGGAGGGGTCTTCCGCACATTTGATGGTGCCTTCCTCCACTTCCCTGCCAACTGTGCCTTCGTCCTCTCCACTATCTGCCAAAAGCTCCCCGACATCTCCTTCCAGCTCATCATCAATTTTGATAAGTGGACTTATCCCAACTTGACCATAATTTCACCAGTTTACTTTTATATTAATGAGGAGCAGATTCTTATCAGCGATCGAAATACAATTAAGGTACAGCATCAAGTCATTAAGAAGCTGTTGGACTGGGGTGCAGCCACTTCTGGGGGTGGGTGGCTTGAGGCTGGTCAGTAGTCTCCCAATTTTGTCAATCATTTTGCCAATGTTTGAGATGCCAGCAAAGCAAGCAGAACGGCACAGAAGGAGGGTTTGGGTTATGCATGACCCAAAGCCAGACTTCCAAACTTGGCTTTAGAAAGGAGTCTACTCTGCTTAAAAAGGGTAGGATGGGCATCTTACAGACTAAAGTATTTTTACCTCCACAATTAGGTAAATGGGACATCAGTGAGCATTCCTTTTGTGACTGGTTTGTCAACCAAAATCTACAGCCTGGAAGGTTTCCTGGTCATAGACACAAGCCCAGATATCCAGATCCACTACAATGGGTTCAACATTATCAAAATTGCCATTAGTGAACGCTTGCAAAACAAAGTTTGTGGGCTTTGTGGAAATTTTAATGGAGATTACACTGATGATTATGTCACCCTCCGAGGAAAGCCAGTCGTCAGCAGCGTGTTCCTGGCCCAGAGCTGGAAAACCAATGGCATGCAGAAGAGGTAACGGGTGGGGCCAAGTGAGTGATACGTCCAGAAGAACTCATTCATTTTTCTAGCTGCATCAGCCACATATTGTCCCTTCTGTGGGCTGTCAGGGACCACATTTAAAAGTAGTTTACGATGTGCTTTTAATTAATCACTGCACAGAGGAAGAAGACATCAATGATACTTTGCATGGGCCCATTTGGGAAGTTGGGTAGAGACATCAGTGTGAAGAATTGCTGGAAAAAGTTGGTGGTGAGGGGAGTATCTTCTTTATGGCATTTCAGCAGTTAAATTTTGCAGCAAACAATTCTACCAACTTCTGTTATAGGTTTAGATGGGCACTGAAAGACTCACAGTTGCATTGGTACTCCTATCATGCTCTGCCAACTCTAGAAAGAACGAACAAAATCCAGGCCTCTTGCAATAACTGGAAGAATGTAGAGAATCCAATTGCTAGTTCCTTTTCCATAAATTGTTTTGATTTTATTTCTGCTTTCAAAGGCTAGAAAGGATGTGTCAAATAGTTATGATGCCCAAAGGCACTTCTGTGTCCAAAGAGCTAACCTTTGACAGCTGTTAATTGAAGACAGGAACTGAAAACCCATACATTTAGGAAAGGGTTAGAGTTTAAGCAACTGACCCACATCAGAATAACTCAAAGCTGGCCATGTGTCATATTCAGTCAAAACCTCTGTTGTCTTTTCTGTTGAGAGCAGCTAATGGCCAATAGGAATGGATGAAAACATACTGGTACTGGAAACAATTCCTTACCAGACCATGACATTGTGATTACACTGATGTTGTGGAAAACCATGCTTTATTTAACAATAGTTTGGTGAATAAAACAAAGTTAGCTGTAATGGTATTTGGAATGAGTTTGGGAGATGGAGACGAACAGCCAGGGCAAACAGGTAAGAGGCAGATTAGCCCAGCAGGAAAGAGAAGAAACAGTCCCCAGTTTCTTGGATGTAAACACCACATGGGAGAAATGTGGTTTCAGACTTGCAAAATTGCTGTCAGCCTCATGAAGTCGTCCAGATAGGGTTCCTTCTGAGACATTTGCTACATCCACATGCCTATTGAGAGCTAAACTGCCTCTTACCCAGTCATAGCCCTGGCTATATGGTTCTTCCCTGTCTCTTAAGATTATTCCCATATACTATTTCATTGGTGGAATATAAACCACATGCTAAGTTAAAAATAATGGTTCTACAAACCACTATTGTTATTTCCTTCTTGTTTGTAATTTTTGTGTTTATGATTCCAGTTGCAATGAGCTCCAGTATTCACAATATGCTGCCGCTTGTGACAACGTTCAAATCCAAATCCTGCAGAGTGACAGCTACTGCCTCAGGCTCACTGATATGAAAGGTTTCTTCCAGCCTTGTTATGGACTGCTGGACCCATTGCCTTTTTATGAATCATGCTTTCTTGATGGCTGCTACAATCAGAAGAAGTATCAGCTCTGTGGCTCCTTAGCAGCATATGGGGAGGCCTGTCGTTCCTTTGGGATCCTCAGTACAGAGTGGATTGAGAAGGAAAATTGCTGTAAGCAAGCGTGTCTTAGTAGTTTAGTCCTTCTTTACAGAGTTTCTTCACTGCATTTCCCTCAGCAGAGAGTAAAAGAATATAAATATGGTCATATTTGGTGTGGGAGTGTCTTCTTGCCATGGTTTTCACCATGAATGCTTCCTTGATTGCTAGCACAATAAAGGTTTCCCCCACTGGAGAGAAACAGAAAATGTTTTATCAGGGGAAGAAGCCTTTGAAGATATGGTAGGGAATATCAGTACAGGTGATTATTTTTTTCTGCTTAGACTTTGCATCCTATCTTTCAAGGAAATCTCCTCTGAAAAAAAGGAACATAAAATAAATCAGTTACCCTTGTCTGTTTCCCACCCGCACCTTTTTATCTTTTTTTAGCAGGAGTGGTTGAAGATCCCTGCATGGGAGCAGATTGCCCCAACAGAACTTGTGATGTAGACAACGATGGAGAACTGTGCGGCTGCATTGAACCTCCTACCTATGGAAACAGTGAGTACCCTACAAATAGATCCTGATAAGAAATGTCCTATGAGGTTTCTGTGGTAACCCTCTTCCTTCTTCTCACAGACACACATGATATTCTAGATGCTGAGGTGACCTGCAAAGCTGCCCTAATGGAGGTGTCCATCTCAAAGTGCAAGCTGTTCCAACTGGGTTTTGAAAGGGAAGGTGTCCGCATCAATGATCGCCGTTGTCCTGGCATTGAAGGCGAAGATTTCATCTCCTTCCAGATCAACAACACCAAGGGCAATTGTGGAAACATCGTACAGGTCAGAATGATTGAGGAACAATGGGCTTATTTTCCCCCTTCTGGCACTTGGATTTTTATTAAAGCTTCTGGATTAGCTTCATTTGCATCTTGCGGTGGAAGTTGTTTTCATTGCTGTAGTCAGAACTTCATAAACATTTAATATTTTGCAATGTTTCCTTTATGATAAAATTAGCAATATGAATAGAAACTTACAACACCCAAAATACCATCACTGGCAAATTTGGGACTTTGCCATTAGCCCTTTATTTCTTGGGCATGGATGTCTACATGTCTGACTTCCCTTTCTTCTTAGTTAAATGAAATAATTGGTCATGACAAGTTCCCTCTGGATTAGAGATCTTTTCTTAGCTAGTCATCTCAATTCCATTTGATTAGATTAAAAAATGAAGTTTGCAGCATAAATTTGAGACTGTAAGACAATCCAGGATCTAAGGAAATAACTATATCATTAGGCAGGTTGTTTTCCTAAGTATGTACATTTTTTTTCTCCTCTTCATACTGTAGTCTAACAGCACCCACATTATGTATAAAAACACAGTCTGGATTGAAAGTGCAAACAACACTGGAAATATCATTACTCGAGACAGGACCATCAATGTTGAATTTTCCTGTGCATATGAGCTTGACATTAAAATTTCTTTGGATTCTGTTGTGAGACCAATGCTCAGGTAAGAAAAAGTGTTGACTCTTCGGGCATTCTGAAGTAGTGAAGAATTGGATGAAGGGATTCCATTATCTCATGGATTTTATTTGGAGGTGTGCAGCTGACTGAGATTGTAGGAGTTGAAATCCAAAGTTCTGACACAATGTAAACATTAGGATTTTTTTTTAGAAAATAAAACCAATTGCTGTAGCTCTTGCTTTATTTATTCCCTTGAAGAAAGATCTTTTATTTTCTGAGTTTGATCCAGTTCTTTAAAAAATATTTCCCTTACTGTCGATTATAGCAATAACATCTGGTTTTGTCTGTTATCCTCTTTAACAAAATGGTGACATCCAAAATAAATTACTTCCAAGCATTAGTTTTGTAATTTTTGGAAATGTTTTAATTGATTGCCAATTATATAGTTAATATTTTATTAAGTTTGGTAATGCTTAATTCTGGTAATAGGGTATAAATAAAGGTCAAAGATGGAAATAAATTAAATGAATCAATAACTCTAATAACCCAAATTTATTAGTTTTAAATTCTCAAACAGCAGACTTGTCCCAATGGTGTTTTTTGTGTGTAAGTTATTTTCTTCCCACCTGCTTTTTTCTTTGTAGTGTCATTAATCTAACTGTGCCTACAAAGGAAGGCAGTTTCACTACCAAAATGGCCCTATATAAAAATTCATCCTATAAGCATCCCTACAGGCAAGGAGAAGTTGTGCTAACCACGCGTGATGTATTGTACGTTGGTGTCTTTGTGCTGGGAGCAGATTCCACTCACCTCATCCTCACACTGAACAAATGTTATGCAACACCATCAAGAGACAGCAATGACAAGCTCAGATATTTCATCATTGAAGAAGGGTGAGCTACGCTTTTTCAGTGCCCAGTGTTCGAAATTCCAGAAAAAAAGCTTGTCAGTTCTTGGGTGTTCTGCAGGAAGTAATCAATGCATTCCTGTTTCTTGCAGTTGTCAGAATATAAAGGATAATACTATTGGAATTGAGGAGAATGGGGTCTCCCTCACCTGCCGTTTTCATGTTACTGTTTTCAAATTCATTGGAGATTATGATGAGGTTCATTTGCACTGTGCGGTCTCGCTCTGTGATTCGGAAAGATACTCATGTAAAATAGTAAGTGGTGTAAACTCCAGATGCAGTTCACATCAATGTGCTATTTAAGGCTGTCCTAAAAATGGTAATCTGTCTCACAGCTGATCAAAAAGTTGATTTTTGAAAGACAGTATATTTTAAAATGCATGTACTTCAAATACAACTTTAATGATAGGGACCAGCAACTTTTGCTTTATAGCTCAGAGGTTTGGTTAAATACTTTAATCTTGTATATGATTAAGGTGCCTATTTTATCCCTTTGGCTCTCTGGTCCCTGGTTGTCTATTCTTAAAAATTGTTAATGACAAATCATGCAAAGTACAATATATGTTTTCAAGCCAACAGAAGTTATGTACCACAGAAGCATTTCTATCTCTTTCTTTTTGGTTCAATCAGAATTGTCCACAGAATACCCGGAGGGCCAATGATTATTCCAAAAATCTCAATGAGCAAATCATTTCTGTGGGACCAATCAGAAGAAAACGTAAGTGTGATGTTTCTCCATTCAGAAATCTGGATCAATTTTACAGTATAGATGCAGGATTAAACAGATTGTTTTTTTTTTTTAATTTTGACTTGTGCCTTTTAGGCCTAGATTGGTGTGAAGACAATGGAGGCTGTGAACAGATATGCACAAGCCAGGTGGATGGGCCACTCTGCAGCTGCGTAACTGGAACCTTGCAGAAAGATGGCAAGAGCTGTCGAGGTGAATGAACTCTTTTTCAAGGACTGACAGAAATTTCCTCGGGTGTTTATACAGACGACAGAAACTGCATGTTTCTGACTGAAGTTTATATTATTTTTAAAACATGCAGCTTAAATATTCATTGTCTCTTCTACTTTTCTTTGCAGCAACCAGCTCTTCAACTGAGGCTCAAGCCAGGCTGTTTCTGCTCCTTGTCAGCCAGTTGTTCTTATGGTGTAATCTTTCTCAGTCCAGCCCAGCTACATAGTTTATCGAAGTACTGGAATTTGCTATAACCTCCTAGGTCCCTATAAACATGTACAACTCTGAACCTGCAATCCACGTGACTGTCCAACACCATTTGTAATGACAGATTTTTGTCTGTTACAGCACTGGTGTTATTGGCCTCTTTAAATGGTATTAACGAAGTTGTAAAAATGTTAACAGGGCATCACATTCTTCTGAACTATCAGGAGATCTGCAAGTTGAATATCCAGTAATTGATTGTTTGTCTTCCCAAGAGTCCAGTTTTGTCTTCATATTTACCAAAATCTGTGTAATCTGAATTATTAAATTTTGCAGGAAACATCTGGGCAGCTTGGCTACTTTCTGAACTTAGGATGAGGAGGGAAAGTAAGAGGCAAGAGTAGCTGTTGGATGTCCTGGATTTAACATCCTGAAGTTTGCTTTATAAGCCATTCATTGCTGAGTTTAAATCGCCGTAGAGCTATTTCTTTTATTCACATCTTAACGAATTCTGCCCATCCAACAGTTGGTAACCAACCTTCCCTCAGAAGACTAAAAAAATCAACAGCTGGGAGAAAACCTTTGACATGCCCTGAAATGTTACAATTACATTATAGCCATTTTTGCTGGGTTTTTTTTTTTTTTTTGTATGAACACATTTTTACTCTTTGAATTTAACTTCTTTCTTCTAGATGTTTGCTGGTGTAATTTTAAAATAATTAAACATGGGGAACAAGATCTTGTTTCCTGGCAGCCTTCTATTTTGTGAAGTTTGCTTATATTTGGGACTAGGGCAAAACACTTGTAGTATAGCTAGGCATGTTTTTTTTTTCTTGACATGCCAGTTCAAAAAAACAAAATAGAATATTCTCTGCTGTAAATATTTGGAAAACTTGTTGATTTGAATTCCACCACTGGTGCCAACCCAAGGAAGGTGAAACTCGAGAACTTTGTATCACCAAAAACGCAAGATAGTGGAGGCGTTGGGAGCCAATGGAAAGGCCTGCCTTCTTTCTCTCCGTTTTCTTGTCACCTCCACGAGCCCAAGACGGCTCCCTCTCCTCGCCTTTTACCTCAGAGAGCACCCAACCCGAATGGAGGAACCAGTTCGGCCGGGGGTGGTGGTGGTGGTGCTGGTTATGACGGGGAGGCGTACCTAATCCCGTCCCGCCGGGATCAGTCAGGGAACAGGCGGCCTAACCCTCCCGCTCTTTTCTGAGGTAAATCAATTCACCCGCTTCTTCGGAGGTAAATCAATTCACCTCATCCTCGCTGTGGTAAGCTTAACCACCACGACGACGCCCGGTCACTCCGCCCACCCCACCCCACCCCCACGCCTCTGAACCCGCCCCCCGCATTCCTGATAGGCTCGCCTCACGCCGAGGGTCCCGCTGTCCAATCCGCGGCCGGCCGTCCAAACCGGCCGTCGCGCGACTCTCGACCGCCAGGTGGCTCGTGAGGCGCGCAGCCAATCCCTGCGTCGTTGGCTGCCGAAACTCCGCCTCTCCCGTCCGGTGATTGGCGCAGGGGCCTCCCCTTTATCACCAGAGTTCAGGTGCTCTTTCGAGGGTCGAGCGTGGACGATATTCGGGTAGCTGCGGTTGGCGGAGCGGCGGGATCCAGGTGGGGAGAAGCGCGGAGGAGCGTCCCGGTAGGATGCGTATATGTGTGGCGGGGTGAGGACTCGCGCTGTGGCCGCCCACCTTCCTTACCTTGAGGCCCTTCAGGCGCCTGGACTTCATTTCCCAGAATCCCCCAGCCTGGGCGGCGATGGCTGAGGCTATAGGGAAAGGAGGAAGGAAGGAGGAATAGAGTATGAGGAAGGAAGGAAGGAAGGAAGGGTGATGGAGGGAGAGAGGAAGGAAGGAAGAGTATGAGACAGACTTGGAAGGGACCTTGGAGTCCAACCCCTTGGTCAAGCAAGAAACCCTATCCCATTTCAGACGAATTGTTGTCTAATCTCTTCTTTAAAAACTTCCAGGATTGGAAGCACCCACAATTTCTAGAGGAACTTCTAGAGACCTTCAAAGGTGCCCTTCTCCTCTTCTCCACCACCCCCTAGGCCAGGATTATTTTAAACTCTTAATATTTCCCAGTGGGCTCCTTTCCAGCAGGGCTTATTATCTTTTTAAACAAAGCTAAACCCTGGGCAACTTCCAGAGGTTCAAGGTTCCCTCTCAGTGTTTTCCAGCCTAGTTTTAAATAAATATTTACTGATAAATTTGAAATAAATATCTTCTGGTAAAGTTTACTTTACTTTAGACAGTTTTTCCCAATGTTGAGAGGCAGGTATGCTGGTTACCTGGGGGCGGGGATTCAGATGAAGAAGCTGGTTGATGATAGAATAGAATAATAACTTTATTGGTCACTTTGAATGTACACTAATCGGCATACATTAAAATGATACTTTGTTGCATTTCAGCTCTCAAAGGGTCACTGCCTCCAATGTACACTACAGAAGCATGACTGCATGGTTATGCATATACCCACATACATTATATGACACGGAAGAAACAACACAGTCTTAGATCGGATGTATACATGTACATGGGGAGAAGAACAAATCTTGCGAATTTACCGGGTGGATGGCATAGGGAACAAAGTGATTACAGAATTGGGTAGCCCTGCTAGAAATAGATGTATCAATATAATTAGAAATAGATGAAGAGGGATCCAGGGCTTAAGGAGGTGCAAGTTAACTTTCTTTTAACTTTCCAGCTTTAAGACAGATGGACTTCAATTCCCAGAACTCCCCTGCTGACCAAGAAATTCTGGGAGTTGAAATCCACACATCTTAAAAGTCACCATGTTAGTGGTGACTTAGATGTATTGTTGTTTAGGAGCAAATCCCTTTCTTCCATCCTTAAAGCATGGAGAAGCGGGATAAAGATCTACTGATAGGAGACCCAGGCCATCCTGTTTCTCTCTCACGCCTTGCACTGCTCAGTTCCTTTACATTAAAGCTTTCTTGTCAACTGTACAAATGAGATTGGAAAACTACAGTCAAAACTTGGCATTCCTGGAATTTCCTGATGCACTTTACTTTTAGAGGTTTGGACCACGCCCAAGTGACTTGGAACTGAGGAGGTCTGAAAACAAGTGATTGATGTCCCTTTCTGAACGCAACTAATACAGAGAAGTGCATTCTCAAGAGTTATTTATACAGGTAAACTTCTTCATATGGCCCCTTTGAAAATTAATTGCCCACTTCTGTTAGATTATTGAACTATAACCTTTTGTATTTTTCTATGTTTGACATAACATTCTTTCCTTCCTGGCACTCTTGCAGGTGCAGCAATGGATCTTGTCCTGGATTATGCAGACAGTTCTATTTTCACACCGTATGTTTATCCAGCAACCTGGCCAGAAGACAATATTTTCCGGCAGATTATCAGTCTCTTTGTTATAACAAACCTGGGGGCATTTGTCCTATATTTTCTGTTTGCCATTCTCAGCTACTATCTGCTTTTTGATCACAAGTTAAAGAAGCACCCCCAGTTTTTAGAGGTGAGTGGGGTACAGCAACATGGCAAAGCTGTTTTTTCCTTTAACGTCATTCCATTACTCACAAGAGGTCCTATCTCAAGAAGAACCAGAACTCTATCTTATTGTGAATTGTGTCGTGCTTAATCGTCGTCTTAAATTTGTGAATGAAAATGTTAGTGCCATAAAGCAGAATGAACATCTCATGAAAGGGGGAAGCGGGGGCATTTTTCTGCTTGCCGTATCTATATGGTATTTTTGGAGGCTGGGCACATGTCATCTTCCCTTGATTTAGTCACCCTCGTTTTTTTATCAAGGAGTTCTTTTAGCTGGAATTTGACTGCTTCCCCGCTCCCATTTTGGTGTATTGGAGAGGATGATGCATTCGTACAAGGCCTAGAATTGTAAAGTAATGTTTCATTTGATGAACAATAAAGCAGAATTCTGCTGCAGGTTCATTCTCTGCTTTAGGGAAGCCCTTTTTCTCAGACGTTTAGTGGGGAGTGTGAGTTCTATATCAGGGCTTTCCAATCTTGGCAACTTTGGTCTTCAACTCCTGGTATTCTCCAACCAGACGAGTGGAAGTCTACAAGCCTTAAAAAGTTCCAAGGTTAGGACTGGGTGGTTTTAAAGGCCTTTTGACCCATCGTCTGTTTTTGTGTTCAGAATCAAGTGCAACGAGAGATAAAGCACACCGTCTCATCTTTGCCTTTGATCAGCATCCCCACTGTGGCCATTTTCTTTGCCGAGGTCAGAGGCTACAGCAAACTCTACAGCAACATTGAGGATTCTCCCTATGGTAAGCACCCGTTTGGCACTCCCTCCAGAACTGACCTCTGTGCTGCTATTTTTCTCTGCCCCTTTTTATCTCCTTGCTTCAAACGCTCTACATTCCGCCAGAGACTTTGCAATCCCGAAATATATCTTGGCCCCCTAAAGTAAAATGGTTTAGAGTGGACTGATACGGTTCAATTTAACTGCTACTTTTTGAAGCGCGTTGGTTTAGGGAAAGATGTTTTAAATTATGTCTGCTACTATATGGTAACTTTTAGGATTGGGTATTGAAAGCTTTGGAATGTAAAATACTAAATAGCGTGGAAGAAAATCTGTAATTACGATTTAACCATAAGCACAGTGTTATTAAATTTGTTAGTAGCCTGCCCATCAGTAATTTACTGAATTATGTGCATTTGTCTGTGAATTATCTGTCTAGTCCGTTAATCGGAGTCAAAAGGAAGTGATGGTTGAAGCAGACCTGTGAAGTTTGCATCATTAATTAGAGAACTCTGGCAGCGATCCTTTAACCGATCAGGCAATTCAACATCCCACATATCTGTGCAAATTTTTAATGCCTTTGAATGGAAAAGCGTTACCATTCAAGCTGTTGCCTGCTTAGCTGACAGCTGCATGTGCTTTTCAAATGTGTTGTAGGCATCTGATTTCTCTTAAGACTCCTGAGAAACACAGAATAGCACAGCTCTGCTCTCTCTTTTCACAGGAGGAAGAGGATGTCTGGCAGCCCCCTTTCCAATTAACAGATTAGCAGATTATATTCAAAGGCATCAGCTTTTGTGAGCTGCAGCTCAACTTCCTCAGAGCATGAAAAGGACAACTGACAAAAGCTGGTGCCTTTGAATCAAATAGATTAGACAGAAAATTCCTGATTTTTTTTTTTTTACCCCTGTTAGACCAACTTGGTTCACCACCTACAGTATCTACAGTAGTATTTCTCAAACTGGAAAACTTTAAGACACGTGGACTTCAACTCCCAGAAATCTATGCCGGCTGGGGATTTCTGGAAGTTGAAATCTACATGTTTTAAAGTTGCCCAGTTTGAGAAACATTAATGTACAAGAAAAGGAAGTAGCCTTAAGGAAACCTCCTTTTTTTTCAGTACTCCGCCATTGCCTCTTTATTGCCGAAATTTGTCCCAAAATAGTTCCCAGAATAGAAGGACGGCAATGCAAATTCTGACACTGATCTAGCTTGTTTTCCTCCTGTTAAAAAGGATCAGGATTGAAAGGAAGAAGAAATATGTTCACAAGTTTAGGCTGGGTCCATCGATTTGAAAAAATCTCCCATTCCTCCCTGGGTTGTTCTTTAATTGTCCTGTTCTTGGATTTGGTAGATGCCTAAAATAGATAACAAACATCAACATTGTCAGTAGACTTGACAAATGTCTTTTCTCATGAGTTGAACCGACTGGAATCCCGCCAGTCCCTAATTTTCTCCCCTCCTTATCTAGGATGGTTTGGCGTGGTCTTCAGCATGTTTTCATTTCTCTTCTTCACTGATATGTGTATTTACTGGATCCATCGGATTCTCCACCACAAGCTCTTATATAAGGTGAGGTTTATAACTTCCTGGCAAGATCATTTTGGGAGGAAGAGGGCGTCACCTGGAATGTGCATAACTGAAGCAGTATGCTGATCGATATCGGCAAGAGCAAGCAGGAGAGCACTCGTGTTTGGATGAATGTTCCTAGCTTGGCTAGAGACAACATTCCAGGGTTTTAGAGCAATGTTTCTCAGCTATGGCAACTTCCATGCTTGAACCCACTGAGAAACGCAGGTTTAGCAGATTGAGATCAGTCCTCTAGTCTTTGAGCCGGTCCGTGGTGGGACATTTTGTTCCCCGATGTGGTTTCTTCCACAGTACTGAACTTAGTTCTGTCCTTATAAGAAATGGCGGGGTAACATTGGTGAAATTCACAATAGGCCTCGTGTTGTGGCCTGTTGGCCACCAGCCCCTTCAACAGCTAAATCAAAGGAGGAGGAGGCAGTGGCGGCGTGAGGGTCAGGGTTGGCAACAAGGCAACCTGAGGGCTCCAAGGGGAAGAGGGAATGGAACTGACGGGGAGCCTAGGCCATCCGTCAGCTCTCAGATGGAGAGTCAACAGCCCCCAGGTCTGGAGGTGACTGATGAGGAAGAGGAGGAATAACTGGGTCCAGTGCCTGACATGCGGATGTGCAGAAATCAGAGGAGAGCAGTGGAAATCTATGGGCTGGTCCTTGGGAATGAAGAGCCACCACTGCTAGTGAGGCCCCACCCTAGATCTGGGGATAAAAGGCAGAGGGCGGAGATTAATAGATATGGCAGACAACTATTCGTCTTCTGGTCGGACTTGGTAGCCGGCATTGAGAGAGAAACTTTTCGCCAGGGCTGCCAGCACTCCTAAGAAAGGCATCTTTTGAGTTCACTTCAGAGAGTTTGTCTGGTTTGGGGAACTGGGTCAGAACACATTGCAAATCGGTTGAGGATTGTCCAAAACAGATAGTCCTGGGTTTACCATTTGTTCAGCGATGGTTCGAAGTTGGCACTGAAAAATGTGACTTACAACTGGTCCTCATGCTTAGGACTCTCCCAGCATTCCCCAACGGATGTAATCAAAATTCAGACGCTTGGAAACTGGCCTGTCCTTCTGAGGGTTACAGTAACTGTGGCAAAAACGATGGTAAAATCAGGCACAGCTCCCTTAACAACCATCTTGTTCAGCAGTGGAAATTCTAGCTGCGGTCATAAGTTGAGGATCCCCTGCAGGCTATTTTTGTCCCTGGTGGAGACCTCAGCCAAAGGAAGTGAAAACGTCATGATCGTTCTCTAACGATCTGATTCTTTTCTCTCTTCCATAGCATTTCCACAAGCCTCATCACATGTGGAAGATCACAACTCCGTTTGCCAGCCATGCTTTTCACCCCCTGGATGGTTTCCTTCAGAGTATCCCTTATCATATCTACCCATTCCTTTTTCCTCTTCACAAAGTGACCTATTTGGGCCTCTATGTCTTCGTCAACATCTGGTCGATCTCCATTCACGATGGAAACTATCGCGTTCCCCATCTGCTGCAACCCATCATCAACGGATCTGCCCATCACACGGACCACCACTTGTACTTTGAATACAATTACGGCCAATACTTCACCCTCTGGGATAGAATTGGGGGCTCCTACAAAAACCCCTCTTCTTTTGAAGGCCAGGGCCCCCACGCGTATTTGAGAAAGCTGGCAAATGGCCACGAGGATAAGGAACTACCAGGAGGCCATGGAGCGAAAAATAAATAGCAATATCCCTCCCAACTGAAGGATGAGGAACCTCTATGCCTTATGAACTGCATAACCGGAAGTCAATCCCTTCTCCATCCATTAGCTTTCAAAATGGAAATATTTGGCACCCAACATTCCAGGGTGAGAAGACAGAATATGTGGGTTCACAGCAGAGCAGTCTCTTGGATGTTGAGCAGGAGAAAGCATCCATGAATTTCCCTGTTGCCGTTAGAACGAATTAGGAAGCGGTCAGTGCTGCTCTGAAGTCCATCCTCAGCAGATGTTCAAAGGCAGCTTTCAGCAACACCTTGTACGTTGTTGCTGTGCAGTCAGTTATGAATGCCTGCTGTTCCACCAGTATATTAACAAGTGTTTGGGTTTGGTGTGAAGGAATGGATTCCTTAATTGTTTCCATTGTGTAATTACCCTCCTAAAATGCATATTGCAGCGCACTTTAGTCTTAACAGGCGAATTGGTTGGGGGAATTTCTGAAGTCCTTAGAATAACAGAGTTGGAAGGGACCTTGGAGATCATCTAGTCCAACCCCCTGTTTAGGCAGGAAACCCTATACCACCTCAGACAAATGGTTATCCAGGACACCTTCACATCAATTACAAAATGATGTGATGTATATCGAAGTATCAACATCCAGACTATGCCAAATTGCAACAGAACATGCAAAGTGCAGTCAAGGTTTAGACCAGGTTTTCTCAACCTTGTCAAATTTAAGACATGTGGATTTTAACTCCCAGAATTGCCCGGCCAGCGTACTGTTGACAAGATTGAGAAATAGTGGTCTAGAATATCAAGGTTTCCTTGAACACAGGTTGAATGATCTCTAAGATAAGAAGAGCTGTCATGCCAAGCATGATAAATAAAATAAAAGATGTTATCTGAAGCAAGGCAGGAATAAAACACAGGAATCTAGCTTATTACTCTTTCAAAGTCCCTGTTTTACAAAGGAATCTCTTGTGTTTATGTGTGTTTCTAATTCATTTTGTAACCAGCAAATTTCAAACTTCTATGGTGAAGTGTTTGGCAACAGGAAAAGGTTTTAATTTTAATCAGACCAGGGGCATCCAACTTGCAAGCTCTAAGACCTGTGGACTTCAACTCCCAGAATCCCCCTTGCCGGCTGCCAAGGTTGGACACCTCTGCTTGTAGACTAAGATTACCTTTGTGGAGGTAGATACCTTTTGGAATCTTTCGTTATTTTAGAGATGCACTTTATATGTGTTATTGCTTTCCTCACAAGGTTCCATCTGCCATTAAAAATATCAGTTGGATGCACTAAATAGCCCTGCTGGCTAGTCATTATGGGAGATGGAGTCCAGATGGGAGAAGGGTATTATAAATCATTGCTTTGGTTTTTCTGCTCTTTAGCATGTATTACTTCAAACACTAAAATTATTTCCTCCAACAAATAAGAGTAAATATTATTGCTTTGATAAAAATAAATGCAAATAATTCAGGAGATAATGTGAAAAAAATGTTCTGATAGGATTTTTTTTACTGTATGTAGGATATCCTATCATTTCTTAACCCCCCCCCCCCAAAAAAAATTAGTCTATGGAAATTGTCTTCTCTTTAATAATGTTTTTAAAAGATTGAAAGTTATGAAGTGTAGTTATTGAGTGCCCAAAATCAGTGTTTGTAAATTTTAAAAAGTGGAAATGGTATATCTATATATGTGTATATTGTATGGTAGATTTATTTAGTTTATTGGTTCCGATGTTTTCTGGTGATGAAATCATTAAAATAATTTCTCTGTGGATAGTTTTTAATAAAACGGGCAGTTTGGTGTAGTGCATGAGTGTGCAACCTTGGCAATTTAAGATTTGAATTCCAGAATTCCCCAGTCAGCATGGCTGGCTGGGGAATTCTGGGAGTTGAAGTCCACAGGTCTTAAAATTGCCATGTTTTGGATACCCTAGTGAAGTGGTTACGGCATTCAACTAGAGACTGAGAGTTCTAGTCCTGCCTCTGGCACAAAGCCACTGGATAGACAATTTCTAAAGAATGGAAGGGGAAAAAACATTAATAACCATATAAGCGGCATCTCAGCCACATCCACTGTAACAAATTCCACCCTCCTGAGTTTGCTTGTCAAGTCAAATTCTTTTCTTTGTTGTGGTCATATTGCAGCTGCCTGCCTTCGGGATATAATTCCATTTTTCTGCCTAGTCTGTGAGGCTAAGGTTTCCTTTGGCATTCCCATCCAAGTGACAAGCCTGATCCTGCTTAGCTTCTACAGCCAGAGCAAATCAACTCAATGCGGTCACTTAGGAGGTCTCCAGATCAGCATTTCTCAGCTTTTAAGTCGTGTGGACTTCCTCTCCCAGAATTCCTTGTGCTGATTTGGGAATTCTGGGAGTTGAAGTGCACACATCTTAAAAGTTGTTGAGGTAGAGAAATGCTGATCTGGGACCTTGTACCTCTCATTAACGAGTGTGCATAATGTTCTGTAAGGAATTTTTAAAATGTACACATTTAACAAAAAAAAATGAAAAATTTATTGAACTCTATTGGCACATACTGTATGTAAAAATTTTAAATTGAGATCATAAATGGATTCACCATTTGAAAATCATAACAATTTGAGTTTGAAGTTTAATTTTGGAGTAGTTGGATGATGAATAAACTAATCACATGGCCTATTTAGGGAATTAAAGCCAAATAAATCATAATCATTTTATGTTTATGAAACCAGAAGGTAATGCCTCATTATGTACAAAACTCTTTTAATTCTGCAGAATTTCCACAGGACTATTTTAGAATAAATCAATGTTTATTTTGGAAGAGATACTAAGCCCTCGTGTGTCTACTTTGATTTCAGGCTGATCTTGGGATGAATCTGGTCACTGGGGTTTAAAACCCCTGATTAATGGCTTCATACCTTGTGTGATTCAAGATAGATTTATGCAAGTTGTAAGGATTTGATGACAGGCACAAATTTTTTTTAAAAAAAGATAGACTTCCTTTGCTTGAATTTATAAGCTATAAAGTTGTAGGAGAGAGTTGCCTTCATTTAATAGTGTAAAGTAAAAAAAAAAGATCATATAAGAATAACTCCTTGTAAAGAAGAAGTGATACATGGTGTGATAACTGAGATGCTGGTTAAATGCTGGGCTGGCTTCTCCATTCTCAGCCATGGAAAGTTACTGGGTGACTGGATTTTCCTTCTCTTTTTTAACCCAACCTACCTCAGAGGTTTTTTTTTTCTTTGCAAGGGCAGGAAATATGGAAGGTGGAAGAAGGTGATGAGTTGAAGGAAAGACAGTAAATAAATCCAACCACTAAAAAATAAATAGAATAAAAATATTTTTAAAAAGAGATCAAAGAAGTGGGAGAGAGAGAGACACACACAGAGAGAGAAACATTATTATTCTACCACTGAAGAGCAGAGGAATTTGCCTGAGTTTTAAAACACCCTCTGGGCTTTCAGGGAAGATTACACACCACAAGAAGAAAATCCTCATTTCTTGTCTCTAAAATAGGAGAGCAATTATGTCTTGTTTCACTAAAAAAAATGCTTTGGTCTTCCACAGCAACTGGTGTCAGATCTGGGTGAAATGGCACAAGCTTCTGTGCTTTCTGCTCCTTTAAAACTAGACTCCATTGGAAGTGGTTGGTACCCTACCAAAGAAGGCACCCCACCTTCCAGTTTTAATTTGTTGTAATTTTAATCCATTTTATAGTTATAATAGTTGTTATATGTTGTTCTCTCTTGATGTAAGGCCATTCAGAGTGACCTGAACCCAAAGATGGGCGAGAAAGAAAGAGGGACAGACAGGCAGAACAAACGAACGAATGCATGAATGAATTACAATGTGAAGTTAGGTAGCTTTTGGTTCCAGCCTTGCCACTGAATTTAACATACAGGTAGTCCTCCACTTAACAACCACAATTGGGAGAGAATTTCCTTTGCTAAACTAAGTAGAGGTTAAGTAAGCTGTGCCTGATTTTATGACCTTTTTTGATGCAGTTGTTAAGCAAATCATTAACAGTTTTTAAAGGAATCATATGATCGTTTAGCAAATCTGGGCTTTCCCCGTTGACTTTGCTTTTTGGAACCTGGCTAGGAAGGTCACAAATGGTGATCAGATGACCCCGGGATGCTACAACCATTATACATGCCGGTTGGCAAGTGTCTGTGAATTTTGATATGTGACTCTGATGGTCATAAGGGTGAGGACCAGTCATAAGTCCCTTTTTTCACTGCCATTGTGACTTCAAATGGTTACTAAATAAATAATTGTAAGTCAAGGATTACCTGTGCTTGAGTCAGGCCATAATAAATTTTGCATGGATATTTTTGCGTAACTCCAGCTAATGCAACTATGCATTTTGGAGACCCTGTTTCTTAATTATACAGCCAAAAACTATCCTGTGCTGGAGAACCCATGTTTTGGGATCATCCCTCTAAGCTTCTCTGTGTGGTTTAAGAAACAAGCACTAAGTCTGCTGTGGTTTAATTAATTTTTCCTTTGCCAATCCCAATAAGAAATCCCGACATTTAAAAAAACATTGACCCAACACAAGCTCTGTGTTTGCATTTGAGCTCTAAATCTAAGTTGAAGGGGTAAAGTCATGTGGGTTTTTACAGCTTGTTCCCTCTCTCTGTTTCAAAATAAATCCATGGTGCAAGTTATGTCCAGAGTATCAAGATGTGGTTTTAGATTTTTATCATCTTCAGTGGGTGAATAAACTACAGTGCATGCAACTATGACATGGGATCATTACCAATTTTGGATTGCTTTAAAGCAAGGGTAGAGAAAATAGACAATCAGTGGTTGCTAATTCTGATCTTAATTAGGGTTTTTTAAATGTATATTTGTTTTATACATTTTTCTTTTACATACATAAGTGCTTTGTGAACAGTGTATTGTCTAGGTCAGTTGCTTACACATAGTAATATTTATCCAACTTCTAATCTCTACCTCTATTATCAAGCCATTGATAGAACAAGTTCCATGTTAAAAAATATTCCGTATCTTCTTTATCCTTTATCTTTAATGCCAACCTATCCATTTCTGCACAAGCTAGTTGTTTTTTTTTAATTACACACTCTTCTGTGGGTATTTCCTCATTTTTCCAGCGCTGTGCAAATACAGTTCTTGCTGCTGTCAGGACATGCAATATTAAGTATATATTCCCTTTATCATACTTTTCTGGAACTACACCTAACAAAAATATTTTTGGCTTATATGTATTTTTTCTAACCAGGTATGCGTTTTTTTTGCCTTTGTTCACATCCGCCACATGTGAAAAAATATGCCCAGCGTCTGATTGCATATCCAACATTTGGTGGACATGTTAATAAGTTTTGAGGTACTTTAAGGCCCAGTTGAAGCAACAGTTGAAGAGGCTGAATACACTTCTTGACTGCCCTGGTTGTACACCGTGTCATCAAACTTGACCCTAGATAACCAATGTCCTTATCTGCACATCACTCTTCTTCTACTTGAAGCACAGTTTATCCCCAAGACATCATGGTATTATATCTTACTCCTACTCAGAATAGTGAGTCCTTGACTGACTTGTCCTACTATTTTTCAATGTAAGTAATTCTCAACTTCCTCTAGCTCATTTAGTAAGTGTTCAAAGTTCCAACTACAGTGGAAAAGTGACTTATCATTGTTTTTCATAGTTACAGCCATTGGCACATCCCCATATTCACAACATCAAAATGTAGACACTTGGCAATGGACTCGTATTTATGACAGTTGCAGCATCCCGGCTCATCAGCATCTGATGAGCAAAGTCATTGGAGAAGCCACTTAATAACCATGTTACTAACTTAACAACTGCAGTGATTCACTGAACAAGATGGCAAGCCAGGCCGTAAAATGAGGCAAATTTCACTTCACAGCTGTCTCGCTTGCAACAGAAGTGGTCATCAGTCAAGGATTAACTGCACTGAGTAGGAGTAAGGTTTAATAATGCAGATTATATCATTGGTCATCAGTCAAGGATTAACTGCATTGAGTTAGGAATAAGATATAATAAGGCGGATCCTTTTCAGGCCAGCTTTTCAATCTTCCCTCCCACAAAGCAGCGAGAAGATGGGAGTCAAGGAATGTCTTGTTATGAAACTGAGCTGAAATTTTAAACATCTGACCACATGGTGGAGCCTTTGCAACAGACCAGAATTTTTTCGGTGGAAAAATAAAAAACACATCATGGGAGGAGCCTGTTTTTCCCAGGTCCTCCCCTCTGCCCAAAGGAAACATTAGTGAAGGGCTTCCTATTTTTAATATTTACAAAATTGCCAATTAAATGCAATTCAGCTGTATTTTTTTATTTTCTTCGTTAAAAAGGGAGACCTTTAAAGGACCCAAAACTGGACACCATACAGGAGAGTTTGGTTTTTTTAAAGCTTTTTTGTAATATAAAACACAAATGAAAATACAAATCAGAAGGGAAAAAAGAGAAAAGTAAGGTAAACGTTTTTTTAAACCCCAGTGACTTTCATCTCTTTTTGATACAGTAGTATACAAATTATACTAAAATGTACAAAATAATGTATACGGAGCAGTATACAAAGTA